CCCAGCAAAATAGGCGAGAGCACTGAGGCAAACCGCTTGGACAGGTCGTAGAAGTACCTGTAGCACAAAACAAACTTGGCAGGTAGCAGACTGGTAGCAGGGGCTAATTCAGGGGGGGGGGGCTTGTGCGAGTGAAGAACTGGCTGATATTCTTCCTTTGCCGCTGGATCTGCGGAGCCTGACCCCGAGGGTACCAAAGTTGGCTGACGGCTGTCACTCTTGAACTGCTCGCCTTTCCAAAAGACCTAACATATTCATTTTGTTTTACCTTGAATGGTAAACATATTCCGTATTTTGAGTTGGACAAAGCACTTGTTCCTCTGGCAGGAATCCTTGCGATGGCGCTTGACACTCAAACGCTTACCTCGCTACTTGAGGTGGCGCATTGCATTTGAGCACCTCACCCAGTTGTTACGAGCCATGTCATCATTCCTGAAAGATCTTCAAGGGCTTTGTAGGATGTTGCCATCCCTCTCCAGCTGGCAAAACAATCCTCCCAATCGTCCCACCAAGGCCGCGTCTGTAGGGAATCTCTATCAGAACTTGAGCCCCTTCTCCCAGTGTCGAGGCACAGCTCCACCGGGCTAAAGCTGAGCTTGAGCGTGAAAGCGACGTACTCCGCATATGTGAGGCTCTCTGCACCAAGGCTCTGCAACGCCGCCAGCACTTTCTTGGCACAGGGGAATTTGCCAATCCAGGAGGCCAGGAAAGCCATGACCCTTGACACAACTGCAACAGATCGGGGTGGGTGGGGTGATTGGCACGCAACAGAAAAAAGATGGGCGAGGGGAAAAAAGAACAAACAGAGAGCCAGGCAGGCGGTCACTAGGTGTCCTCTTGTGGAAGCCCGGAGCTAACTTCTTAGTCGCCTTTCAAAGGGCTCCATTTTGGGAAACGAAATAAGCAACGAGCACCCACCCCCCATGCGAAGCCTCACGTTGATGCACCAGAGCTATCTTTTGAAAGGAGACAAAGCATTACCAAGCCAGGTCGCTTTACGCACAACATGGCATCTTGCCTTCTGCAGGTGTGACTCCCATATATGCTTTGCATCTATGCAGAACATAGTTCAAACCTGAAAACACAATAACTGCAACCTGAAGCAGGGGATCTCGGAACAAAACACCAAAACATGCCCAAACGACACCCCAAAGTGAGTTGAAAACCCAACAAGCTTCGGCCGTGAAAGCCCTAATTCCGCTGCGCCTACTACAAATCACTGAGCTCTGCTGAGTCACGCTCTCGGTTTCTGAGTCGAAGTCGAGCAGGGTCCTTGCGAGTAGCCATCACTCAAAACACCCAAGAAAACCTTCCGCATCAGCTTTTTAGCAATGCTTCAAACATCTATGCCTTGTCAGACCATTGGAAGCTTTATGCTTGACAAGGCCCACTGCTGCAAGCCTACGGGCTTGACTTGAACAGCGGGCCGAATTCTCAGGAGTCCTTGACCTGAAACAAGTCGAATCCCTCAGACAGAAATTTGGATGACATTGATCGACTCTCCCTCGTTTCACTTCGACTCTTACCCTCCCAATTCACTACTGAACCTGTGGGCAGCCCTTGAGACCGCTTCTTTTTCAATGGATTCTCTGAGTGGGAGATTACGGGGGTTTACTGCGGGGTGACTTTGAAGCACTTCAAGAGTTGCAAAGGCAAATGCCATGTTTACATGCCTACCCTCCGAGTTTGCTTTGGCTTCAAGCATTTTGCAGCGCGGAAAGTTGAGCTGCTTGGTTTTGACGCTCGAACATGTACTGCGCCTCCGTTTAGCCTTCACATTCCCTTGCAAACGCTCTTTTGGCGCATTGGACCTGCTTGTTGAGTCAAACCAGGACTCAATCCCTAGCCGGCTTAAAGGGAAGGCTGTTTCTGGTTGGAGGGCCCGGTGTCAAAAATCGACACACGCATTTGCTTTACCGGTACCACCTTGAATAGGCTTTCTCAGGCTTTGAGAAGAGCATGCCTTGTCATAATATGCAGTGATTCAGTGATAGGAGGGTTGGTGGCCTGGCCATGTGCGGTGGGCACTAAAGAATCGCAACAGTACTTGCATCTTCCACCAACTTATTCCCAAAAACGTGCCCACCCAACATGCAACATGGGCATGAGGAATTCAGCTACCCTGACATTTGGAAAACGCAACACCAAGCATTCGAGGCGCGGACCCGTTGCAGAACCCTTCAAACCAAAACCGCCGAGGCTCATGTTCAGCATCTTCCGCGTCACCAAGCCGCAGGCGCGTTCGTCCACTTCCAGCCAGCTCTGCACCAAGCCAGGCACAAGGCCCTAAGATGCTTCCCGGAACATGTTACGTGACCGGTCTGCAAACCAAAACCAAATCTAAACTCAGTTGTTCAGTGACCCTGGAAAAAAAGGGAACCCTTTTTGGGGAAGACCATTTTTAGTGAGCAGCTACCAAACAAAGGCGGACAAAGGGTGCCACTGAACAACTGAGTAAACAAACAAATGCTTGTTTTCGGCAATCTGCCTCTCTTCAATTTCTTCGATTGCATGGCGCTGTTCAGCCTGAAGATTGGAATGACCCCGCAAAAGGATAGAATTCAGGAGATTCAGCGGATGCGACTCCAGCGTTCAGTGGTTGATCTCCTGGCTGGCTCGACCTAAACTTCAAAAAGTGGCGGGACATTGAGGAAGAACAGCCATGTGAAGAAGTGTAGGCCCTGTCGTCGAATCTCCCCAGAGCAGTTGCAGAGAAAAACAACGTGCCGTGTGTTGCTGCATAAATGAAAATTGAGGGGCCCTCAACATTTGCAGAAATCATGAACGCTGGTCAATGATAACTGTATGGCTGTGTGTCAGGAGCTGAAATCTGGAACAAACCAACGAGCTGGAAGACCAATACAATCATTGGCGCAAAGTTCTGTGCGTACCACTACCACCCATAATCTGTCTTAAATGGAAGAGCACAGAACGCCTGGTGCTTCTATTCGGCACCAAACTAGACACCTCCGTTGCTTGACAGGGTGTGGGATACGGTTGCTGACTGCCTAGCTTCTTGTTGTTGTACCTGGTGGTACTCGCACAGGTGCCCGCTGATGCTATGAACAAACTATTCTAGCAAACTCAAATGCCGGCCAAGCAGGGGTTCTCATACTAAGGCAGATCCGATGTAGAGATTGCACAGGGCCTGTCGGCATTCAAAGGCTCAATGCGCCTTTTGGAGTCTTGGCTGGAGGGTGGATGTGGCGAATCTGGCAGGGAACGTCGACGAATTCGAATTCCCAATCCAAAGAGCCACGGCCGAGTCCCCGCCGAGTCCCCGCCAAGTCCCGAAGCGCCGCTTCCGAAAAAAGACCAAAGTGACCCGAGAGCATCCCATCCCACCAATTGGCCGGCCCCGCGGTTCAGCGCGTCAACCCGAGCAACTGCAGGACCGCTCGAAGCCTCGATTTCGAGGGGCGGGGCTCTGGCGGATCTGGCGGTGGAGGATCTCCGCGTTTCTGGGGCCCGCAGGGTGCAGCTCCAGCAGCGCCATGTGCAGCCACTCTTGCTGCGTGATGATGCCTCGACTTTTTTTTTCTCCAGGAAACGTGGTTGCCGCGGTGATGGACAATTCCTACCTCGAACCGGAGTTTACATGAAGAAATTCAGGTGTCCGGCTGGAAGGATTGGCGGGGATCTTGCAAGGCGGTTTGGATGCGCCCGTTTTCAGTCCCAAACTGAGCCTGGGACAGGAAAGAATCAAAGGACCGAGTGGGAGGCCATTTGGATAATTGCCGCGAGGCTGAAGGAGGTTGCACAGAAAGGCCCCAAAAAGCAAACATCTGGCCAATACTGGCTATTCACATATGACTGATCTTGTAATTGACAAACTCGCATGACACTAGAAGTGCAACACATACAGCTTTGCAAAAAAAAAGACACAAGCGCCAGATGATCCTGAATTGCAACATCTTCGGAACTGTCTTCCCCCTACATTCGCGTGTGTTTTGGAGGCTTGCCATCGAGGAAAACCCAGAGGCAACCACCCATTTGGGCGGGTTCAACCCAGAGACAAACCATCTCCGTCCGAGCTGAATTGCGTGGGCGAGCCCTGGTTGATTTTCTGTGAGCCCATGACCGGGCAGCACTGCACGCAGGAAGGTGTTCCCGAAGACTTCTAGAGACATGTTGTGTCTTGACTGGATATATACCAGCATATCGACCTGGTCCACTTTCAGAAGACCCAATGCACTGCTTCATGGTACTGATTTGCTTCCATATCTCAGACTTGACCACTTTCCGCCAACACCTTCTATACGTGAACAGATCAGCAAACGACTTTCAGCCCAGCTTCCGCCTTTTTGGCAATTTCCGCCCGAACCAAATTGCTCTCAGCGCTTCGGCCAAAGTGCCATCCTGCTGGACGTCCATGGTCTCAAAGCTGCGCTGAACGCCCGCCCAGATCAAACTTTGCTCGGAGGCGCTCAGCGGCCGTTTTGCCACCTCCTCACGTAGCAACAAAGGCGGCGAATTCTTCTGTTGCGTACAAATGTCAGGTGCAAATCAGGGATCTTTAGGAAAAACACGGCTGTGAAAAGCCAATTTAATTTGAGGCGAGCCGGCAGGAAAGTACAAAAAAAGCAATCTTGCTGGATGTAGTGCAACCGAGCAACAAAGCCCCGTTTTCATCGCTCACGCAAAGCAATCTGGGATTCCGAGAAGATTGGGAATCTCTTGAAGGTACTTCGTCGACCCGGTCCTTGAAGGGACCACCAGGATTAGTTGCAGGTGCTCAAAGCCTGCGATAGGGTACCTTACTACCCGAAGGAGTCTCTCAAACTTATTCACCTGGTTGGGTTTTGTTCTACTTGGTGAGCTTTAATAATCTAAGTAGGTTGTCAATTGCGCCCCCTTTTCTTTGAGGTTTGTTGAGTACCTGCCCGGTAACCTTCAGGTGATCCCAAGCAGCAGGCTGGAAGTCGTTCTCGCAGGTCCAAAGCCCTGTGGCCTTTCTGGAAAAATCCGAAAGCCAAACGTCCACTCGGGAGATTTTGCGAGCTTTGCTTGAACCAAGTGGGCCAACACCAAAACCCTGCCCAGGAAAAGGTCGCTAAAGTTGGCCTGACCCACTGATCCGTGACTAGCTTGCCAGGGAAGCCGTGACAAATCAACTAAGGTCCTGTTAGAATGCCATGCCACCAATAGTTGCGCAGTTATTGCTTGGAAGCTAAAAGGGTATGTGTCAAAAAAGGGGCGACCTGACAATGGTGGTTCTTCTCTCGGATTCCCTTTGAACCAAACTTACAAAATGGGTAGCCTCAAAAAAACACGAAGTAAGGTTTAGACATTTTGTGGATGGCCTGCCATGTCCGCAGCCATGATCTGGAGCAGGTTGCATTCTCCACGCTCGCAACAGCCAAAGCTAACTTTAGCGAACCCGACATGATGAGGAGAGGACAGACCTTGCCCCACTTTTCATTCCGTGCATTGCAAATCAACCAGCCATGGTGATAAAATGCAAGCTGAGTCTACAGTCGAAACTCTATATGCTGGAGTCAGATGTCAGCGTGAATTGAAATTCTAAAACCAGGACTTCATCACCCCTTCAAGAGCTCGCCGACTGTGTTGCATTGCTTCCAAATATACACAACAACTGCCCCCGTTTTTTGAATGGCACACTTCATGGAAAGCTGTTGAAATATCTGGCCACTGCCATCCCTTGTCAGCCGTAGTCAGCTCCCTGGGAAACAGCTTGTGAAAAGGATGCGATTCTCGATGGAGGTCCTGACTCTAATGGAGAGTTCAACGCCTCTGGAGGTATTCCACGCAGGCTTCCCATTTCCCCGCAAGGACTTCAAACCAATCCAAACCGCCAGATCAGGGTTGAGGATTTAAATCCAAGCACTTGAAAGAGGAATCCACCATCCAAGCAAGGATTCTTTTGCCCTGAAGAACTTCAAATCCCAGCCATCCAAACCAACTCATCCCCTGAGGACTTCCTTGACCAAAAAACTCGGCTGGCCGGGTCCTGGGCTGCCATGAGCCAGTGCTTTGCCAGCTCATCCCCGGTGATGCCTCCGGAGCCATCGGCATCCAGCTCGCTGAACCGCGCCAGGATGCTGCCCAAGCCTACCACGTCCATCGGTTCAGTTGCTGCGTGCTTCGCCAAAGGAAACCCAGGAACTTGGACACGGAATCCGCAGAAATGCCGTGATTCACCAAGGGAATCAAAAATAGCATGCTAGCAAAAATAGCGTGACTCAGCAAAGGAAAAGGAGCTTGGTATCTGACTGACAATGCCTGGTGTGACTTGATGAATCGGCTGGCTGCCTCACCCGCCGGCTTTGACCGACTGCTCTGGCTGCTGTCTGCTTCATGACTACCTTTTGGGAAAAAGCACCGAGTTGCCGGAAAGGCACATGTTTCTGTGAGTTCTAGTCAAACAATGAATCTGGGCCAGTCATCAGTGGCTCACTGGCCAGACATCCCGAATCCCGAAACGAAACCCGTTGACCGGAAAATCTGAACACAAGTAGTGGTCGCGTTGAGAGCCTTAGGCGTGAAACCGAGACTAGCACTTTGGACACAGCTACCCTTGAATCTTCAAAATGTCCTGTTGTGGCTTTCACACAGCTGGGAGCACACTTAGTCAGCGCTGAGTGGTTGCAACCCCCAGTTGTTGACGAGTTTGTGGGGAGGGACGGGTGGAAGCGCTTCAGCATGCCTGGCTCACTTCGGGCCAACGTGAAACTGCAACCCCAATTCCCAAGAAACATGGAAAGCACGTAATTCAAGAGCCTGTTTTGTGTCCGGAAAACTGGTGTCAAGTGCCCTCTTACTAGGCATTGGCGGCATACGAAGACATGACTCTGTCAGTACTGAATTTGCAGCTTGAAGATTCTCCATCCGACCTGGGGATTCTCCAAGTCGGATGGAGATTCTTCAAGTTGGATCCTGAAATTTGCAGATTATCCATCCCACTTGAAGATTCTGAAAGTCTCCCCCCGACTTGGAGAGTCTCCATCCGACGTTTCAATTTGGAGATTCTCCATTCGACATGGAGATTCTCCAACTTGGATGGAGATTCTGCAACTCGGACGGATATTCTCCAAGTTGCACGGGGAATCTCCAAGTTGGATGGAGAATCTCCCAGCGACCCCGAGACAGCAAACAAATAAGCGTTTTGATCTTATAAGCCAAAGGATTGAGCTTGCTGAAGCCAGATTGCAACACACAGCAAGCAAACTTAGAAATTTGAAGATTCTCCATCTGACTTGGAGAATTCTCCGCCCGATTCTCCATCAAAGTTGGAGTTCCATCAAAGTTGGAGGATGCTCCATCAAGTCGTATGGAGATTCTCCAAGTTGGATGGACATGTTCCATCCTCCACCCGACCTGGAGATTCTCCATCAAATTTGGAGATTCTCCATCCGACTTGGAGATTCTTCAACTTGAGCGGAGAATCTCTAAGTTTGGGTGTTTTTCAGCAAAAAACACATGCAACACGCTGATTTCTGCTAAAAAGCCTGCGCCGCCAACCCCAACTCGAATACCAAGGAAACGACTGCAAAACAGAAGGTGGCCACACAAGTCCAGCAACATGCAAAAAACGAACGTCAAAACACTTACCGTGGGCTGGCTCCCAACAGCCAGCTCGTGCAAGTCAACACCCCCAGCTAGGGAAATTGAGGCCCCCAGGGGTCGCTGCACCTTCTCTTGGGCTCTTTTTCAAGCAGAAAGAAAGAGCCGAAAGAATTCCCGGCAAGCTTTGGGGATCAGCTTTCAAGTCACTGACGAGTCAGCGAAGAGCAGGGGGGGAACCCCAATTTTCTTCCAAGCACCAGAGGGCACGCACCCCTAATTTTCCCAAGTCTTGGGAACTAGTAGTAGAAGGTACACTGGTACATGCTCCTGGCTAGCGCTTTTGCCGCTGGCTAATGCGATGCACCGCGAGGCCAAGTTGCCAGGCAGCTCAGCGCACATACTGCATTACTACATATAGGCATGCATACACATGTAGAGACGCACATTCAACAATGAAATACAAGTGAAGACAAACAACATATGAGGGTGTTTTGCTTTTGGACATGCTCATTGGGGCACAAATACTCCAGTGGCAGTGGCAGACGGACTGAAGCTCCGCATAAAACACGGCCTTTGTCGGGCCTTACATTATACACCTGAACATTGCCTTGTAAATGGTGGTTTCCCGGAATTTTGGTGGAAAAAGCAACATGTTTCAAATGGGCAAAATGTATCTTTTAAGGAGCCCTGAGAAAGGCAAACGGTTCAGCGTAAGCTTTTCAAAACCCGCCAGGGCGCAGGAGTTCAAATTGAGGCCGGAAGTTGTGAAGCTGGCCAGGTCCTCCGAGATCTCAGGCTCGTCCATGGCTCAGCTCATAGCCGCACAGCTCGGTTTTGTCCGGAAGGTCTTCCGCATTTCTGTTGGAGTCGACTCTTGGGAAAGAAAAGCTGCCAAACCTTGCTCAAACGCAACATAAGAGTCAGCGTTGGAAAACTAAGGCTGTAAAATATCGGGGAAGAAGGTGTGACCACATGGATGTGAACCGTACTGTTGAATGCTTAAGAGTGGCAGCTGGATAAGCACCCGATGAAGCACAATTTTCTGACGACTGGGTCAGTATGAGTCCGTCCCCAGAAGGTCAAAGAGCGTTCTAGAGCGGCTTGGAGTAGGGGGGTCACATGTCCAAAAACAGCAAGACTGAACCTTTCCTGATGTTGGTCTTGCAGCCACTGGACCCCACCATGCTGCTGATTGTATCCCACATCAAGTATTTTGCAATGTTTCTCAATGTTTTGCAACCTCTCTCAACAAGCTTTGAATGATGAAAGCGGTTTAGAGTGGTTGTTGTAGAGAACGTGCTAGCACCTGATCAAAACCAAATAAGTACATAGGGGTCACAGCAAGTTTTGATGTACGAGCAGTAGTGATTTGTCCTTAGAGGCCGATCGACTACAGGGTTCAAACACAGCACGATTCTCGTTGTGTCTAGGCATGACTTTAATTATGTAAACTAAAACGTATACCGTATACCCTGTCCAGCAGAGGGAAACTGCCGTGGTTGAATACGCAACAGCCATATCATGCATTGTTTGTGCGTGCGTGTGTGTGTGTGTGTGTGTGTTCAACGCAGGGCTGTTCTGGTCGCTGACGTGGATTGGTACTGGCTAAGGTTCATGTGTTGGCGAAGCTCCTCGCTCAGTGCCAGCGTTAGTTTGAGCAAACATCGCGACTGTCGGCAAACAAGCTTTTTTGAGAATTCTTAATCGGACCAAACTGATAAACTAGACGGCCCAAAAAAAGCATTTGCTTGCTTTGGACAATGAGCTATGAGGTAATCTTGCCCAAATGAGAAGGGGCTCACTTGGGTGATCTCTTTCCAAGCCATACAAAGTCCTTTTGTGACAGGCCTCAAGCCTAGCTCAATTAACACAAACCACGTGGCGCATATAGCCCATTAATCATGTCCACCCACGTCTATTTAAGGTTTGCAAATGGTTTGCAACACATCCGCGCTTCTTTCTCGCGCTGGTGCATGCAATCCTGCCACGCACCTTGCCATCGCCGGGATCCCGGCATCGCGGGAAGCGATCCGCCAATCGTGCAGCCCTGGGCAAAGGGTGTTCCCTGAGCATCTAGTGTCTTGGAGGTGCAAGGGAAAAGCCGATAGTTAGCCAAAACTTCAAAGCTACTGACCAACCATGAAATAAGGCCTTTCGAGCCTGTTATCATATCGTGAAATACCCCAACTGTTGTCCTCCGAGGAGTTCGAAGCATGTGACTCTGGCGTGAACATTCATAAGATGGTTGGATATTTAAGAGGGGCACACCCTGCCTTTTCTCCTGCTGCCATGGACGTCCAATAGACGAGGTTGCCATGCATCTCAGGGCAAGCCCTGTTTTCTGCTTAGCTCAGCTTCATGCCTAGCTCTGAAGTGGGGGAATGGGAGTTTTTGGATGCCGTGCAAATAAACTTGACTGCAATAATGAACAACATCATGGGTCAACGGCTTAACCTAGCCTCTTGACACTGGGCTGCTATACAAGCAAAGCTGAAGCGATTTCGATCTCAGCATTCAGCTCTTTGAGAAACTGCATCGGCTACCGTATGGAAAACAACAACACGGTGGATTAGCAGGTCAACGTTCTCATGTTGGACTGCTACACAAGCAAAGCTGAATCGGTTGTGATTCCCGACAAGTTATCAAAACTCGCCCCGCACCTTGGCATGCTCCACAAACAGCCCTGCATCAATATCCCGCTGCATCTGCTCACGCGACACAAAGTGGTAGCCCACACCATTCTGCTCCCCTGGTCGAGGGTCTGGAGTCGTGTGTGACACAGAAAAGCCAAATTGCCTGGAGAAGTCTGCCATGAGCTTCTTGATCAAGGTGGACTTGCCCACACCGCTTGGACCAGTGATCACGCAAGCAACCCCCCTTGAAGCTGGGAGCCAGTCTCACAGCTGCAATGTCTGCTGCAGCACTTGCCTCCGAAGACACTACTGCAGTGCGCGGGAAAGAAACCAAAAGAGCAAGTCTTTGACAGAGATTCTCTTTCGCACATTGGCTGCGCCCTGCACGATGTCCAGCAGGCACACCCTGCCTTTCCTCATCACATCCGCTACCGCTGCCATAGACGTCCCAGGTTGCCATGCACCTTCTGCCTAGGCCAGCGCCACGCCTAGCTCCAAAGCGGCGGATTCGAGGGTTTGGCTGATGTGAAAATATGCCTCTTGCTCGCCTCGAGTCGGAGGATGTGGGGGGGTAGCTGCTTCGATGTTGTCGATGGGCCCTTGGCTTGCTTCTCCGTGCTGCCGCGCGGCCGCCAGCATCAAGACCGCGAACCCAGCCTCAATTCCGAGCCCTCCTTTTGCAGATCAACGATTTCCACTGGTAAATCACTGGAACCAAGCTGAAAGCAGGGCCAGTCAATTCCAATCTGTCAAGCTGACCTTAACAGGACATCAATTGCGTTGGCCGCGTGTGGGGGTACAACATTGAATTACTTTGCCTGGTGACCCCCCAAATCGCCGGCCAATCGTGGTGCAATCGCGACCTCGCAGGGGCCAATAGCGGAGCAACGTTGGTCATCGCTGCTGTTTCTGCTTCGCTTTTCGCTGTCTTGTCTCAAGCGCTGGCCTTCCTCCATCCATACCTGGAAACTAGAAGGAAATGACATAGCTCGGATGGGCAGGGCCTCACCGGTGAAACTCGTCCAATCGCCGTCCAACTGCGGTCCAATCGCGGAATTCGGCGGTGGAACTTCGGCTTGCAGCTTCCAGCCTTTGCCAGTAAGCAGATTTGGAAAGCACAGCCTGGGCCTGCGCAAACAGACGCAACATTCAGCTTTCCAGGAGGAACTGTTGTGAGAGCTCGTGCAGTCAAAATGAGCGAGACGTGCGTCGGCACCACAATCTAAACACCGTTCACAATCATTTCGTTGCCCTTTCGCGGACCAATCACCGGCCTTTCGCGACTCGAGTTTTCCCAATCGCGCGGTCTCACAAGTTGCCGCTGTTTAGAAGCTTTATACATCCAATTTCGGACGCCCTGCATGTAACGCCAGAGTCACAAGTTGCCCCATGTACTTTGTGATTCCTCGTTCACTAAAGAAACACAACTAACTCGCACGTGTTGCAGGAGTTGATTGGCAAGCTGAAAATCGCCAGGGCATCAAAAGCTGAATTACAGATATCAGCCTTGAGCCTCAGCTTTGCACAAGAACAGCACAGGGACACACCGCAGTGACTCAACACCACAGTGACTCAAAGCGCTGGGGCAAAATGGTGGTCTCGCTTATCCGAAGGAGCATACTCCCTGGCTGAATCGGCCAAACAAGTCCGCGCATTGCTTGCCACTAAACATAGTCTTCCGAAAACGTATGCAGTAGATTCGAAGCATGCATGGGAGGAAGAAGAACTACAAGGTTCATCTGGCTGAGTGCCTAGATTGGGAGATGGAGTGAGATGAACTAGGATGACAAAAGGCCCGAGGGTCACCATATCCGAAGACCCGCCCCTTCAGGAAGCAAGCGCCATTTTCCTGGGAGCCAAGCTCGCTCTCAGAATTTTCGCACCGAAAAGCAGCAGCTTTCGGGCGCCCGAAGCCCTGCCAAATCAGCGTTCCGCTGAGTTCAGCACTGGCTCCTGGACGCCCAAAGCGCCGCAAGACAAGTGCTTGGGCAAGAAAACCGACACCCAGGCCAGCAGGCCACTGATACCGAGCTGCACCTCAGGCAAAACACCTGCCTGGAACAACAACTGCGCAACTCAAAGCAAGCTCGCTTCTATCAGCGGTGCTCTTTGCAAAGCTGGCCTGCGTTCAAAATCGCAAAGGGCCGAGAGTGGGCGAACTTGGAACCTTTCACAAAGTGTTGGAGAGAGTCACTCGGCCCACTGTCACTCTGCCCACAACAGAGTATGTAGAGGGCCATGCGGGACCCCCACTGCATATGAGTCTGTTGTCATGATTCCTGATTGGTCTCGTTGAAGGAGAAAAGTGAGTGAGCCCCAAAAGCCTGCCTTCCCTGCTTCTTCTGCCACCAACACCTCCACCACTATGTCTCCTCATGTGACCAGCAATTGGGAAACAAGGGACCACCGGATAAGATGATCGGACGTGTGAATATGTGTGTCTTGTTGTCTGAATCACATTGAAGTACTGCCTTCAACCTGACCTCGGCATACAAGTTCGCGCCAATCTGACATTCGCCGGCGCCCACGCTTCGCGTAGAAAGCGCGCTGAGAAGGAGGATTGGGAGAATAGAGAGCTTCAATGAGCTGGAATCTATTCAGATTCGGTTCGGCGAATCCAGGCTTCGACTGGATTGATTCGCCGAGCTAAGTGCGGGAGCCGTAGAGCTGACTGGTGCTGCTGGTGGGGCTGGGGGATCCCATGCCTCCAGACTTTCGGGCCGCCAGCAAGGCGAAGCATCCCATGCAGCCCGCCAGCACGGAGATGGTCAAGGCCACCGCGGACAGCACCACCGGCAGATTGTCCACGGGCGCCTCCTCTTGGACCTGACGCTTGAGCTGAGCACCTGTGCCCTACTTGAAGCCTGTAACGTGAGTCACAATCAAAACCCGGTATTAACATGGTTGACCCAGAAAAATGTAAGGAAAAACGTCTACCCAGGTTTTGATTGTGGCTCATGTTTTCCCTGCTTACTTCGGAAAGGCTGACTGTGCAATGAATCCAGACTTTCGACAGGCAGTCAGAGTCACCCTTACCTGGCAACCATCTTTTTGGCTGGCCTGCGGACTCCCCTGCTCGGCCGCGTGCGTGTGCGTTGCCTCGCGCAGCTTGTTCAATGCCTCTTGCATCACGTCGCTGTCGTAGATGTCATAGGAGTGGCGCTTGGAGCTAATCACGTTCACCTTGCACAGCCAGCGGAGTGCATGACTCGCAACTTTCCCACTGCTCACCCATCCTTTGAAGGGGTGCGTCAAGTTGGTCAAGGGTCCTGGTTTTGATGAAGCAAATGGAAACATTCGCTTGGTAATTGCGAGAGCTTGCCGGCTTCAATTCTCAGGCGCCATCACCCATTGCCAATTGTATCCGTCAGGCAACCTCTGCTTCAGCCCTGCCCTAACCCTGGCAGGTGCCTGCCTACCTCCAGCCTGCATTGCCCAAGCCCCAAAATCACAGAGTCGTACGGCCTCACAGGCTCCTGATCGCTCGTTGCTCCCTCACGACTCCAAGCCCGCAGACTTCTGGACTCCTATGGAGGAAAGGAGTGAAGGATATAGACATTTCACCATATCTTCAGACACATTTCTGAACACAGGTGCACAAGTCCATGAGCTTTGCCTTCCAGCTCCTTCTTTTGCCTGGACCCTCAAACTCCTGGAATTTCAGGGTGTTGTTGGTTCGCCGGTTCGTGCTGGCGCTTGAAATTGGTGCGCAAAGCAGTATTGTAGCAGATACTACGGATGGAACCTGAAACACGCCTCTGTAGTAGAGGAATGAAAGCATCATTAGGGGAGCAAGTTGCATCAGCCAGTGTCCTATGAAACATGCCGGACCATTGCCAGGGCGCGCCCATGCCGGTGTAGGCCATGGTGCTGCTTTCTGAGGTGAATGCCACCTGTGCCACAGGGACCCTCCAAGCGAACTGACAAGGGGCCTCCGTCAGCTTACCAAACGGGAGGATCCACGAAGGGAGCCGAAGCAAAACGGGTGCTTTTTAGAGATCGGGGGACCTTCCCATGAATTTGTCAGGATGGCTTTCCTTCAACATCATGCCACAGAAGGCATCCTTTACTTCAGGAAACAACCGCGATGCCGTGGTCGCTCGGTAAACATATTCACCAACATCTTCAGAAAGGTCACAGTCAAAGACGAACACAAACACACGCAAACAAGCACCACCCATACCACACACGCAAAACACACACACACAACAAACACAACACATACACTCAAAAAAGACGGCCGCCTCTGAAATCAACGCAGCAGGGTGCTACAACAAGGCATCCGGCTCGCTTTGAGTGCCCGCCCGGCCATGTTTGCGGGGTAGACGATGGTGCTGGCCGCGCTGAGGCTCAAGGACCTCAGAGACGCCGAGGGCGAGGTGAAGCCGAACTCCGCGGCCAGGGAGTCACCGTCGCGGATGACCATGTCGATGAAGGCCTGCCGCGGGCAAAGGCGCCGTAGTTGTGTTGTCACAGGCTCAAAAACTTGGTGATGTTGGTGGCCAAAGGGCTGTCAGGCGCACAAGGATGGGAGTTGAAACTCGTTTGAAAACCAAAAGTGAATCTCAACCATGCATTTGTACGCGTTCCTGTGGCGTTCCGTGGTGTTTCATGCTAGTTTCTAGGGGAGTACAATCGGTTGTTCCTTCATGCAGACCGTTACATTGTGTCACACATTGCAAGTGCCATTTACATGACTTGATTGTGAACAATGCAAACACAAGTTTGCCGAGGCGTGCAGCAGGACTGTCTCGGGTTTGCCCACAACATGTTGCAACCACCTGACCCGACAGAGGTTTGCACCGCTGGCAAAAAGGCAATCTGCATGTCTCCAAATGCGAAAACGAGCACTTTGTAGACAGCGTAAGCTGGCACACCGTTGCCGCTGCCGAGACACAGCATGCTTGCATGCAGCGGTGAGAACTTTCACGGAAAAAAATCCGGTGCCTTGTGGGGTGCTTTCAACACGGTTGACAGCATGTTGAGATCCAGCATTCCCCTGTGAGACACATGATTGTGGACGTGGCACTTCCGCTTTCGGCCTGCAGCGCAGCGGCTGTCTTGGGGTTGGTGCTTGACTGGTCCTTCTTCACGTAGAGGTAGCTCACCAAGACGATGGGCCAGGTGCTGTCTCCCGGCATGTCATACAGGTTCACCGCAGACCAATCCTCGAGATTTGTCTTGGCCACACAACAAGGATCTCCAATCTCAACAGGCAATATCATTTACAGCACGGGTGTGTGTGTGTGTGTCGAGGGCGCGGCTTAACCGCGACAAGAGCTTAAAAATTGAACCTCGACAAAAAACGCGTGAACCTCGACAAAAAAGGTGGGAACCACGACGGGACCTGCGACGGGCTACACGACGGGACAGGATGTGACATGTTGGGGCATACACGACGGGATGGGCCATATAAACACCTGTGAGTTACACGACGGCACCCGCGACGAAGCCATTGCGAGACCTGTGACGGGCCACACAAGACGAGTCCACGACGGATCGAGTGACTGGACTGCGACAGGCCACGCATCCATGAGGGGACAGCCGTCACCAACACGGGCCAAAGAATCACCAGGACGGGCCAATGTCGGTGTGTGTGTGTGTGTGTGTGTGGGACCTTGTCGCAGTGATATTTGTCTTGTCGTAGTTCTCATTTTCTTGTCGTAGTTCTCACTTCCTTGTCGTAGTTAAAACGTGCCCTTGTGTGTGTCGGCCGACGTAGTGCAGCTCAAAAAACCACAGTTGAGAGTCATTGACCAAAACTAAGGCTCTCGTTCATAAACGAAAAAGCCAACCATAGCTTCAGGACGTATCGCTTTGACAAACAGCCATTTGATAGTAGGATACGGCGCTACAACTGCCATAGGTAAGAATAGATAAGGTATCAACTGCCTGGCCCACAGCCTAAAACTCAAAGACCAACGGCAATTGGCAGCAACTAGCAGCCGTTTACAATAATTGCACCCCACTGATAGCAACAAGCAACTCTCGGTGGACTCGTGCCCTCAACATGGGTGCACAAAGCAAACAGCCAATCAGGCCAGCGACTCGTCCTTCTACCTCCTTAACCCTTCAGGAACACAACAACAACAAGAACAAGAACAAGAACACAAGAGCAAGAAGAAGAACAAGAAGAAGAGCAAGAAGAAGAAGAAGAAGAAGAACAAGAGAACAAGAAGACAAGAATAACAAGAAGAACAATAACAACAAGAAGAACAATAAAACAAGAAGAACAAGAAGAACAAGAAAAACGGACAAGAAGCACAATAACAAGAAGAAGAACAAGAAGAACAAGAAGAACAAGAAAAACAAGAAGAACAAGAACAACAATAAAAAAAAACAGGAAGAACAATAACAATAATAACAAGAAAAAAACACGAAGAACGAGAAGAACGAAAAGAACACTAAGAACAATAATAACACCAATAACAATAAGAACAAGAAGAGAAAGGACAAGAATAACAGTAAGAACAAGAAGAACAAGAGAAACAAGAAGAACGAGAATAACAGGAAGGACAAACAGAACAAGAAACACAATAACAACGAGAATACCAGGAAGGACAAAAAGAACAAGAAGAACAGGAAGAACAATAAGAACAATAATAACAAGAAAAACGAGAAGAACGAGAAGAACAAGAAGGACAAGAAGAAAAAGGACAAGAATAACAGGAACAAGAATAATAATAAGAATAAGAAGGGCAATAATAAGAAGAAGCAGAAAAATAATAATAAGAACAGAAGAAGAATAATAAGAAGAAACATAACAATAATACGAATAAGATGAAGAAGATGATGAAGAAGAAGAAGAAGAAGAACAACAACAACAACGACAACGACAACGACAACAATAACAACCACAGCAGCAGCAGCAACAACAATAGTTGATGGGTTTCCTTAAACATATTGTTCTACACCAATGGAATTTTGCCATAGGGGAGCATTGGGGGCGGGGGGAATGGGGCGGGGAGTATATTGTGAAACAACGCCACAAAAGGGTTAGTTCGCCCCCTTTCCCAGGGGTTGCGAACACCCTCTTCGACATGGAACCCCAAATGGCATTTTAGGGCATTTTGGGGGACGCACGTTTGGGGTTATATGTTGAATTGCAGGGAGTAGATTGGCCTACACCAATCACATGGTATCACCATTCTGGTTTGGGAGTTGTTCAAGCCCTCGTAGCTTGGTCCTTCAGGAGCCTACAGATTTGGACTTGGTTTGTGGTGTACTTTAAAACCAAACCCATTCAACGGGTCACCCAAGACTGCTAACAAAAACACGGAAGCCTATTTTGGCTGCAGAGGAAAACCATATCATGTTTTTTTGAGGGGGGGGCCTAATCTTGAGACACACCCATTTAGCCCCTTATAGTTGTGCGTTAATGTTATTTCGAGGGTATTCTTTTCAGGTTGGTGTACAGGGAAGCCAAGACGATTTTTTTGGGGAGTTCCCTTTGGGTTCCAAAAAACCAAAAACAACCAACGACCCCCAAGGCAGCAGCGGCGCTCGCGCGCTCCATTCGCCCCCCGCATTCCCCGCTCCAAATTCCCCGGGCCACGGTGGAGGCGTCCACCGGGAAGACGTTGGAGCTGGCGGCCTGGGACCCGGCCTCCGCCACGCCGCCCAGCGCGATGGACTCCTGGCATACGTCGACCCTTCGGACACCGCGGTGCTTTCGGTTTCTTCCATTTGCCTTTTCGCCCTCTGGAAAACATGAGAACTTAGTCCAGTAGTGATAGATTCCAACTCTAAAAATTAAAACCACGGGGAAAAATACAACATATTCCTTTCAGCACATGGACATTTTGTAGTATGCGTTTGTTTCATTTGTTGGGTCTAACGGTCTAAGAACAGATCAGGTCACCCTTAGTTAGTGCTGTGGATTTTGGACGAGTTGAAGCCCAGGATGAGACAGCTCGAACCACGCCAATCCAAACCACCAGGAGGGAAGCTGATTCATTTATTTGGCTAGGAGAGAGCAAATGAACACAAGTGGAATTTCTCATGTTCGGCTGGTCCCTTCATGCGCGGAAATTCGGGTGGATGTTCCCATTCTTGGGTGGGGAAAAGGGGTGCTCCGCTTGTTCGGCTGGTCGATTTCAAATGGGGAAACAAGTTGTTCTCGGTTGACTTCATTCTTGAAAATTGGGTTGTTCATACTGTTTCATGACTCAGGGTTCCCTATGCTTCCCCATGCAACGTCACTCCTACCAAAAGAAACAGGTGCTGTGAAAAACCACCAAAAAGGGAAATCTAGGGGGGAACTTTCGTTTGAGAGCGCCAAAGACAGTAAATTTCGGACTTTCTGCCTTGGAGGTCCGCGTCATGCCCGCGAAGTTGGTGAGCGCCACCTCGGACATCTCGAAGTCGTGGCCGTGCCCGGCGTCCAGGTAGCCTCTGCAAATCTAGGGGTTGCGGTTGTAGCCAAGTTCTGCAGCCAACCCTGGTGTTGGGGGGTTCCCGGAATTGACACGGGGTTGGAGTGCTCTTGGTTTGAGGGGAAAATTGTTTGGATGGTTGTACCAACGGGTACTAGCCATTCGGACGGGCCTGCAGTTGGACACAACCATTTGGAGTGTGCTGCAAAAGGGTTGCTGGGGGTCAATGCATGCAACAAATACATGTGGGAACGTGGTTGTGTTGCCCAAAAGGCCCAGATTCCCCCTTCATCATTGACCAACAGTGCAAAAACAAAATGGTTGTTCCTTCGACACGAGTGTATATGGTTTAGGATCCTCCATCAACAGCAATGACTTCCTCTGGCACAATCGCAACAAACATAGCTTGCATCACCCAAAGTGAGGGCTTTCATGGTGCATTGCGGCTTCGCCTCCCCTCATGTCCTTGCAAAACGAGTCGGCAAAGCCTATTGGTGACAATGGGCCAGTTGCACAAATCGAACATGACTTGGAGCGTGAGTGACGGCTCCATATCTTTCCGTGTGGTGGATTCCCAACTCCCCAGCTAGGTCATGCCTCTTCCACGGCAGGAAAGGGAGACACATGGGTTTGAGGGTTCCGCAATTGCCCATGTCAGGTAGCACCAGGTGCAAGCGCGACAGTGGCATTGGGGACTTCAACAAATCGGCTCAGGCCCCCTCCATTCTGTGTTTGCCTGGAAGTAGACAACCTAACCCGCAAGATCTATAGTGTTGGTGGACAAGCATGAGAGGACTGATGCCTCGTTTTGAAAATCGCAAAGGCCTCCATGTTTTCTTCACACAGGTTAACATGAGGGACGATCTAAATGGAAGGTGTTTGTGTGGAGTCCTCATATTACTATCCTTTGCGCATCCCTCATTCGGCCAACATGGAGAAGAACTAGAACAAGAAGAAGCAAAAGAAGACCGATAAAAAGAAAGTCACATGATAGAAACCGGCTTCACCCATTCCACATTCTACCGCAGTTGGCTTTGGTTGATGAAATAGACCCGGCTCGCGTGTCTGGCTGGCATCAATGCTAACTCTAAATGATGGTACGTAATAAAGACCGATTTGAACTTGTCACGAAACTGATAAGACCATATCAAACCACCATTGCGTTACATGATATCACGCTATTAAACAAAAGTTGAAACCCACTATTCAAATGCTTGCTGCTTTCGGAAATCCACGTCCATAGGCTTGAAGCCCCAGGTGCCAGCAAAGTCTGGGCTCCTCATCTTCTTCCAGTGTTTTGACATAGCTCACCACACTTGCCATGATCAAACCATCCTTCTCTTGGTGGGGACATGTACTCTTGATAGGAAGCTCAAAGGACAAATGTAGCAAAAGCTACCTACTAGCGGAATCCTGCAAACAACCGATATAAGATCAGAAGTTTTACCCATGGCTCACATGGCTATGGATCGCTCCTGGTGAACACCCTCAAACACATTTGGCGACAATCAATCTCAGTGCAGAAAAAAAAGGGCCTATTCCACTAGAACACTCAGACCACGGGGAAAAAACACAAAACAAGGTCAAATTCTGAAAGCCCAGAAGCCGATGGCATACTGGTTGCCCATGATGAAGCTCTGCATGCCCGGAGAGCCCTCCACGTTGTTGAAGTTGGCCTGGGCAGGCCAGCTGATGGAGGAGGAGGCGCCCAAGGTCCAGCTGGATGGGCACCTGAGCTTCCATTTGGCTTGGATGGGGTTTGGGTTCCGTTGAGCAGGGGTTCCCCATGTACCGTTTTAAGCAGCGTTTGGTGGGTCAGGAGGGGTTTCCCATGTTTTTTGTACAAGAACCAGGGCTTCAAATCCCAAACCACCAATCCGAACGGCAATTGGAGGGAGGCTGACCGAAGGCAAAGGCGGCGGGAGACTGGCGTGTGATTCTCAGAAACTCAGCCATGCCCATTGCACATAAACGAAACAATGCGGCTTTCGGCTTCTCACTACACACAACACTCGGCAACTCATGGCACTATCAGCATTCCAATGGTTCCCATGTGAGAACCGCAGAGCTGATGATTCAACAAACAGAAGCCACAAGCAACAAACAGGGCAGCGTGTGAACAAATGGGTGCGCTTTTTTGAGGCTCGCTCCCCTTTTCACCTTGCTTTGAAGTGAAGCCAAAGGGGAACCCAGGTCCCCCCTTTTTTTTCACAGACCTTAATGTAGAACTCTTTCACAAAGCATTCCACGGTCGGCAGGTCCCCTACCTGTCGATTACCAAACAGCAGGTCGAAACAAAAGGATGTAGGTGCGCCAAACAAAAATGCGCACAGTAGAAACCAAATCTCAAATGGTTCTGTGCCAAAATAGGCCCCACCCTTGAAACAAAAAGTGGCGGTGCCTTGGTTTCCCTTAAGCAACCCCTGAAAAGGGTACCCGCAAAACAAACAAAACCAACAAAACAAACAATCAATCAAACAAACAAACAAACAAACAAAATCAATCAAACAGACAGACAAACAATCAGTAATCAAACAAACAAAAAGACAAACACACAAGCAAACAAACACAAAAAACAAGCAAGCGAGCAAGCAAGCAAGCAAGCAAGCAAGCAAGCAAGCGAGCGAGCGAGCGAGCAAGCAAGCAGTCAAGCAGGCAAGGAGGCAAGCAGGCCAGCAGGCCAGCAGGCCAGCAGGCAAGCAGGCTTGCAGGCTTGCAGGCAAGCAGGCAAGGAGGCAAGCAGGCAAGCAGGCAAGCAAGAAGGCAAGCAGGCAAGCAGGCAAGCAGGCAAGCAGGCAAGCAGGCAAGCAGGCAAGCAGGCAAGCAAACAGGCAACCCAACCACACCACACCACACCACACCACACCAAGCCAAACAAACAAGCAAACAAACAAACAAACAAGCAAGCAAGCAAACAAACAAGCAAACAAAAAAACAAACAAACAACACACGCGCATGCACGCACGCAGGAGTGTTCCGAGGCTCTTCTTGTTGAGGTATCCTGAAAGGCCGCCAGTGCTGCTGGACCCAAGGGTCCTGACAAAGCAAAGCTGGGAACATCTGGCCATGGGTCAAACCCCAAATCATACCCCCAGTGAACATCCGATTCAATCCCCACTAAAAGAAACTAAAATGGGTGGTGCACCTACCTCCAAAATGGTACCATTGGTTTTGACCCACAGCCATCTAACTTCCTCCAACTATCATGGTACCTGGAAGATTCATGTCCTTTTGAGGGGAGCCCCTGTCAGTTGCCACGTTAGTGGGGGAGAGGCTAACAGTTTGAACATGTTCTTGATGTTCTTGATGGCTAAAACTTTCCAAGCTGATCAAGTACAGGAGATGAAATATTTCACATCTAACCCTTTGAATAGGGGTTCTGGAGCGCTGACATGCTGTTTCGGCTGAATGTCGTTTGCTGATCAGCGCAAGCAGGCCCGATTCTTTTGGCCCGGCCATTCATGCTCATGTGTTCCTCTGATGCCCTAAGGGTGTCAGCCCAAAAAGGAGTGTCCAAACTTAGTCTTCGTACGAACCCATCTCAACAAATGAATGAGTTCACAGTCCGAATTCAGTTTCGTAGGCAATTAGGTCGATAGGTGTTTGCTGTACCACAGCGGCAAAAACCTTCTACCTCGTTTGTAGCAAAAACAAACTACACGCTTGGTCTTCCCTTACAGGTGCAACCGACTGCAAGGAGCAGGGCGGACAATATACCGTCTGTGTCAAAACTGTGATCTGTAATTTGTATACCAGCTGCCTAAGCGACACGTCTGCGTGCGAGCTCGAAATCATCTCCAATGCTAGCCCGGAGCCTGTTGGTGGCACAACGGAAATCTATGAGCCACACACAGAAAGCGGCTGATTCCGAGTAAAGCGAATTTGGGGCTTGTACTTTGATTCTCTAGTGGATTTGTACGTCCATGTCGTTCCCTTTTCAAAACATGACGAGAACTACTTGCAGTCCCAATATGTTTCGAGCTTTCGCTACCTGAAGTCTCGAGTCTCGTGTCTCAAAGTGGCCCCTGTTGCTTCACATTTGCTTTCCCACTTTCTGAGCACCGAGATGTGAATGGAAGTCAAAGCACTGCCCGTGCAAACCTAGGCATCGGCAATCCCGCCCATAGATTTGGAATTCGCATCACACTCACAGACTTGCAGCGAAAGAGCGGGACTGCCTCAAACAGGGTGGTGGACCTGGCTTTGGACGAACTCACCACTAGCAACTTCTGATGTTAGCGGCTGTATTTCGTGTACACCAGGAAGCAATTAGATGGAAGTAGATGGCCCAATTCCATTTAAACATTTATGTGAGTAAGCCAAGGGGACGAGTAAAAAACAAACTCAAGGAATTGTGCCATCTTCTGTCACCCAACTGTATCCCCACACACGCACACCCCCCCCACCCCCCCCCTTCAACCGTATCCCCTTCCGCGTTCACTCCTGTGAGCCACCTTGATGACAGTGCCGGCCGGCACACTCAGAGTCGGGTTCTGGGCCAACACCTGGCGGTTGAAAGGTCGATGCTCATAGTGTCCTTTTGAAAGATAGATGGCCCTGGTAGAGTAGATGTTTCAACCAAGTGAAAACCAGGGCCGGCTAAAAGGACAGCCAAACTATACAGCCAAAAAGGACACCTATGCAGTGGCAAAGAATGAGGAGGGCGGCCGCACCTATTTTCGGTTGGGACTACTCACCTTCTACCTGCAACCCTGGAGCTGAACAGCTGCGATTCCCTTCACCCTTGGGTGGCGCAACATTTCGGGGAACCAGTTGATGTTGTCGCGCCTCACTTTGAGAATCAACACCCTGGCAAACTTGAATGAAATGGTTATGTATGATAAGATATCTAAGATGAGGTATTGCACTTGCAATTGGTTCGTTGCATGGGTAATCTTAGCGCTTGGTTACCCTCCCACCAAAAACTATGGAAGTATAGGCTCCCTTTTCAATAGCAACGTAGTCAGCGAAAAGCTCACTTCCATATCTGTTTGTCGGAGGAGATATACCTGGTACTAGCCTGATTGATTCTCAACTTTCCTCGTAAAAGGGCACTTTCTGCTGGCAGGTGGCTTTTCCGCATGGTGCGCTGGGCGTAAAGACGCAAACGCGTTGACAGCAAAAGAGATTGGGGGTGTTCTATACACCGTGCTTGCTCAAAGCGTGACCTGCCAGTGGCAACTGCTGCATTGAGCAAGACCGCCAAAAGCCAACTAATCTCCAAGGATCGTTTTCCGTAACAGGCACGCCTTGCAGGCAAAAAACCACTGTACTGGGCCCGCGTGCAACCATGGCTCAAACTCATTTTCACAATATTCATCTTGCATAGGAAAGTTGTGGCAAGATTGGCAGCGGAGGCCCCGCAAAAGCTGTTGGAGTTTGATCTGGACCAAGGGATTCGTGCTTAAGGGGACCCCGGCGAAAGCAGCAGGCAACCAACTGCAGCCAAACCGTATGGAGATGACGCAAGCTGCCTTGATATGGTGTTTTCTGACAAAAACCTGCATCTGCCAGAGCACTGATTTTTCAGGCATCTGTAAAAGCCTCATCTGCTAAAACCAGCCCATAATGCAACCAAGCACTATGCTGGCATAAGGGCATGTATTCAAGGAAGATACCCAGGAAAACTGCAAAAAAACCTGAAAACTGAAAATGCAAGGATTTGGGGGGACATGGCTGGGGGGGCAGCCCTCATGTCCCTCGGAATCCTTGTTTTTTCCAGCTTGCGATTTTTTGCAAGAGAGAGTGGTAGTTATATAGATAGAGAGAGATAGATGTAGCATACTCCGTTTTTTAATAGATAGGTGGCCAAGTGGACTAAGTGGCCGGAGCCTTTTGCCACTAGCTCCTTGAGCAGATGAAAAAAGATGGACAGACATGGGTAATGAGAGACACAGAGAGAGAGAGAGAGAGAGAGCGAGAGAGAGAGAGAGAGAGAGAGAGAGAGAGAGAGAGAGAGAGAGGGGCGGGGATAGCTATAGAGAGAGGGAGGGGCGGTTGTAGATAAGGGGTATGAAGATAGAGAGAGGGAGAGTGGTAGTTAAACAGAAAGAGATATAGTTACACATAGGGAGATGCTATTCTTGAGAGACAAGGACAATTATACAGATACGCGTAGAGATCCAGGTATGAAGATAGAGAGAGAGAGGGAGAGCGCCAGTTACACAGAAAGAGGTATAGTTGTACATGGGGAGATTTTGCCTCTGAGAGACAGGGGCAATTGTATAGAGAAGCACAGAGACCTAGGTCCAGGTATGAAGGTAGAGAGAGAAAGAGTGTGGTAGTTAGACAGAGAGATACAGTTATATATACATAGAGAGATTTAGTTATAGAGAGAGAGAGGGCCAGAATTATAGATAAAGATTTGGGTATGAAGATAGAGGGAGAGAGGGAGAGTGATAGTTTTGTAGAAAGAGACAGAGAGAGAGAGAGAGAGAGATAGTTAGGGCATCTACAGTTCTACAAATAGAGAGAGGGTGATAGTTATATGATAGAGATTTACAGGTGATTGAAAGATAGTTATAGAGAGGGAGAGAGAGAGAGCGAGAGGGACGTGTATATCGACAAAGACGTAGGTTTCTTGTATGTAGATAGAGAGAGAGATAGTTATTCATAGAGACAGGTGTTTCTATTGATAGAGAGAAAGGGGATTTTGGTACGCCTGTAGACAGAGAGATATGGAGATAGGTGTATGTATAGGTAGAGAGGTATGAATATTTTAGATAGAGGGAGAGATAGTTAGGGAGTGGTAGTTCGACAGAGAGAAATAAAGTCATACTTTTGTGAAGGAGAGGTTGACCATCAACCAGAATGCTAAGGTAAGGTCTTCTTGTTGCGAGCAAAGCTTCGTTCTGCACAGTGTCAGTACTGGTGTCGGAACCAGGATATGTGGGTTGCATCTGGGACACTGTGCGAATGGTTGATGACTAAGTTCATGAAAAAGCTATCCCAGTGAGTGTGATGCAGGCTTTCTCGGAACCCTGGTTCAAAAGGACTGCCTTCTGCATGCGGGTCTGGCAATCAATGAGGCATGCCAAAACACGCGTTTTCGGAGGAGGGGGGGGTAGCATATACACATGCATATGTATGGATACCATATATACGTAGTGCATCACAGTATATATATCTATATATGTATACGTGTAAGCATGTGTACGTATAGTATACGTATATGAATGTGTATGTGTATGTACATATATATATATACAACAGTGGTATCAGCTTTACTTCAAACCGGTATCGTTTCTCCCTTCTGATCCATCAACCACGGACCACTGGCCGTCCCACCTGGGCGTCATCCCAGGTGGTCACTGCACCACTGAAGATCTTTGCCTGCGGACGCGGATGGCATGGTCCACTTCCAAGGGACAGAGCCTGACTTGTCCATTCTTTCCGAACATCCATCTTTCTAGGCAACCGCCAACGGAGTGCGCGACTAGTTTCGAAACAACAAGTGTCTCAAAAGAGTTGGGCATTTAGCCTTCAATCATGGCTGGGCAAGATTCTGAAGTGAGCTTCAACCCAAGCAACCGAAGTCAGAAGACACCTTCTGGGGGCCGCTTCATTCATACACCATAGGAAGCGAACATGAAGATCGCTCGATATTCCCAAGCAAGGCGCCAGAAGGCAGGCATCCAGCTTCACCTCCGTGGCACCTCCCAGCATCTCCTCTCAGTGATGCATTGAGCACCTGACTCACTTAGTGGCATTCATGCAGCTGGCCATGTGGCCAATCTTATGGTGGAAATTGAAGGTCGCCAACGGCACATCCTGATTCATGTATCTGCGCGATGCCTATTTCGTGGCACCCAAAATGAGGCGTCCAAGTGATAGTTTACCGCAGTCAGGCCTGGATGGGCCCAGTAGTCCGTGCCGCCGAGTGACCCGTGTTACAGAATCCCATAGACATTCCGACGAGTTAAATGGGCGCGGGCCACAAGCGATGCCCGCGTCCAGTCGTGTGCAAGAAGCCCAAAGCACAACTCTGCTTTTGGTAGCTGGACATTCTGAAACACACCATGGGTGTGTGACAAAATACGGGCGCCCCCGACAAAACCGGTCTTTTCTTCTGTCTCCCTTTAACCCTGAGCATGCGGCAAACTAAGGGCCCTCCCCCCCAAAAAAAACCCGGAGAAACACGAAGATGTTGTGCTCTGTTGTGTTTTCTGTCTACCTGAAAAGGGAAGCCTCAGTCCTTGGGCACGGAGTGGAAGACGCCGATGGCTCCCAGCGCCAAAGGCATGTGCACCATCGTCTCAGGCGGGGTCTGGGCCATGAGGGCCTGGAGGCCGGATCGAGCAGGGGGGAGGGGTGTGTGGTCTGAGGGTTGGGTGGTGCGTGTCTTTCTCTGGAGTTGGCAGACATGATTTTGTGGCCTTTAAAACGAAAACGCAGAGTTGGTAGATCCTTTTGTGTGGCTTTAAAAGGAAAACCATCAGTTTGGCTGAGGGGTGTTTGTCCAAGGGGACACGTATGTGGGTGGATGCCTACTTGGAAACCCTTTGTAATTTTACAGAAACTGTGCCCAACCAGTGCTGATGGGATTTTAATGAAATGAGTGTCCGTCCTTTTTTAAGGTGGTGCTGCCTTTTGGTGTTGCTTCAAAGGACGACCAACAGGAACACCGAAGCCATTGTGGGGGATCCCCTAGAACAAAGACACACCCAAAAATGGCCTAACCCACTACTCATAGGACTCCCCTGCAATCATGACATGACTAAATATGGCTCTCAAATACCCCAACCCCATTGTGAGTATTTAGGCCCGTGTATGCTTTTTGTGGTGGATTTTTTGGTCGGGATGGTTGAGCTTCCTGCGCCTTGAGTTCCATGTGATGACAAAAGGGCTGGGGCTTGATGAATTCATTAAAGCCTTTTCACCGGTTCGAATCGACTCTTTTTGACAGGGCCCTTTGTGGGCACAAATTGTTTGGACCGCGTCTTGGGTCAAACAAAGGAACTTCATGGCGAAGAACCCCCTTTTCATTTCCCGGCGTCGCATTTGACAGGCAAACCCTTTGGCCGAGTTGCTGAACTGACTTCCGAACGACGCGATCCATCTCTTGTTCATGAAACACTCAATACTGTGGTAGCAACCAGGCATGCCAACATGTGCGATACGTGGATGTCACGGCGGGTGCAATGTCTTTGGAAGGGTAAGCCACCAACGCACCCATTCACATCATCAACCAAAAAAGCAAGTGAAAAGCACGCCGACCAGCCACAAACACCCACTAGCCAGCCTGGAAGTTGGAGCTGGACATAGGAATATCTCCTGCTCCAAAGTTGCTGTAGCTCTTAAACCTCAGGAACCACATCTGCGGAAGGGCGGCGGTACATTAAGTGGAGCAAACAGCACATCATGTATACCACCACAGGTTGCCCTTGCTTCTCTCGCCTCTAGCACGCTATACTTTGAAATTCAAAAGGACTTCTTGTGTCATGAACGCATCATCGGCCCAATGTGGGTCAACTTCATATGTCATGCAGTGAATGTCCACCGAGAACAAACATAGTGCACCTTTACGTATGTACATGCATACCTGCTTATTCATGCATGCATGCATGCATGCATGCATCCATGTGTCCATTCGTCCATCAGTTTACCAGATATTGATATACCTATCTGTCCATAGCAACATTATACATATGTAAATCATGCATAAACAATCGACGTGTGCAAATTATATATATATATGTATACGCATGCACACATACATATCTACGATCACGCTGTCCAGTTGAAGGCATGTACGGGTCACGCCAAAGCGAGGGAACATGACAAGCAAAAGTGCAATCACTACAGGTATGCGTTTTGGTGACGGACCCGAAAAAATGGGGGGATAGCTTTCTGAATAAACACATCAATTATTGGCATCAACAGCACCTGGGATTGAGGGTCGTTACATAGTCGCGGCGTCCAATCCCGAAAAACTCAAACTCGCAGGTGCTGTGGCTTGCGATTTCTCCAAATGTTGGCCCAGTTGTTTGCACAGGATTTGTCCCAACCTGGCTGTCCCTCACACAAGAAAAGTGCGTTGCGGCAGCCAGAGCGCATGGGATGGATGCATTGCTCATGCATCATTGCATGTCCCATCGTCATATGAGGACGTTTCCACGATTCACACGTGGGTGTACCTAGTACATATCCATCTGCTGCAAACCTCACAACACAGTATCAATGAAGATTGAATGAACTCAGGGTCAACCCTTCGGACATTCCCCGTCCCTAGCCCACTCTGAATGTTCTATCGTCGACGGACTATTCTTCCCCTACAAGGAAGGGAGGCTTGCCCTACACTCGGTCAGCTTTGTGGGGAGAGGAGGGCCTGCTTGCACAAATTGGCAAAATCCTTGATTGCGCATGTGTGTGTGTGTGTGTTTGGGAGCGAAAGCAGTTTGATCGAAGTGAGTTCCTCAAGTCGAAACGAAAAGGGCATTTGAATTCAAAGTCAAAGCATGTGACTTTCTGACCCGCAATACCCCCCAAAAATAACTCATCCATAAATACATGAACAAACACACAAATAAATAATAATAAAATAAGCATCATAACAAATAACAAACAAAGTCATCGTTCAGTTCGGTCAATCCCCGGCATCGATGCATCTTGAGGCAACAACTGTTCAGTTCCAGGCGCATAGAGGCGCCATCGCCCACGAACTCCTTCTGCCCCGTGCCGCTGCCAACGGCGCGGTAGGTCAGAAAGAGGGGCACTCGGGCACGGGTCTCCATGAGCTTCATGGCCTTGGCGAACCTGAGGAGAACATCAGCTTTTCGTGCATGCTACATGACCAGGGTTTCTACCCAATACGAAACCACAATACGATTTTATGGTTGTTTCATTTTCTTCGGGTGCTTACAATCATCACGTATGATACGATCATGTAATCAATACCAAAGCAAAACAACTGATGGTTGTTTGATTTACGACTTGAGCACGTACGATTGTTTGACTGCTATTGCACTAGCTCCCCCCGTCTAGTTTCAACTCATGGACTGACTCTGCCGATGCAGCTTAAGGCAGCATGTAGCATGGCGTGGTGTTTTTGCCAACATACAGCAATATCTGTGTGTCACTCCAACTAGTAGGGCAAGACTGAAGAGCAAACAGTTGTGAACATGTAACACGGGGCCCAAGCAAATAGCTAAGTGTTCAATCCGCTGAGGTAAGCAAACGTAAAATTACTTCGAACATCCCATGCTTGCTCCTAGAACTAGCGAGCGATCCAGTTTCTAAAGGTGAACTGAGAGCTTCCAGCATAGCAGCTATGCTTGACAACATGTGGGGGTTGATCAATACTCCTGGCCCCTAAATGAGCATTGGTAACTTTTCCCATTTAATGGGACAACTCATCTTTTTAGTGTTCTTTTTGCAGTGGTTATCCCACGTAAAGGACTTTGTTTATCAACCCGCTTGTGCCTTGATGCCACCCCCAACGCCTTGGTTCAAAATGTGCAAACCTAGCTACTGCAAATCTCCTCTGACCATGGTTTTGCTGAACGTCAGCATTAGGTTTTCAACTGTGGAAGCAGCCATGCCAACGGACGGAGCGCTGTCTGCCTCGTGACACTTTGAAGGTGATTCTCGCACGACTCATGGCCGCCCTAGGAACATAATGTCAAATTCAAAACTGAAAGTGACATCCCATAAATCCAAACTTTGTGGACTTTGGCTGCACTCCCGGCCAGGTGCAGTGGGTGGGTTTTGGTTGATGCTTGCCACGGTTGCAAACCACGTGTTCGAAAAAACAATGCCAGCTTCCAGCTAGAGAACAGTTGTAACAATCATGGACCTAAGCTATAGGGGCCCAGACCTTGTTCAGGGTTTAGGTGATAGCCATAGCCTTTCTCGGTGAACTCGAAAAGTTTGGGGGAGTCTCAGCTTCCAACTTCCAACTCAACTTTGAGAATGCCTTAGTCAACTCAGTTTCAGTGGACCCTAGTTAGACAACCCTTCATTAATCATGCATTTGCGCTGTGAGCGAATCCTGTGACATATTGCATTAAAGATAGAGCCCACTCACGCTCCATTCCTCCCTTCACTTGGCTAGGGTCCACTCAGTTCCCTTTTGACTTTGGTGGTGGTTGTTGAACGCAGGTCACGTTGATAATGGCAGTCATTTTGCTCTCAAGACGGGTATCCTTTGATGCTGCCCGAAGCCTAGATAAAACAACTCACAAGCCATTGACTAGCGTTGAGTTCAATCCTAACGGTCGATGGCTTGTTGTTGGCAACGCAACTACGTCACTAGAGGAAGCATGCAACGCATCAGCGAGCTGGTGGCTCAGAATGCCGGGGGGGGGGATCCCGCATCCTCCGAAATCCCTGCACAAGGCATCTGGCAGGATTAAGGACATATTTTCGAAACATCACTTAGCATGGGCACCAAGAAATTCGACCAGGAAAGCAGAACCAGGCGCTTAGACTAGGAAACATCACTTGCCAGACGCATTTCCACTCGAGGCACCAATTCTTGGTGTTGGTAGTGCCGCTGCCGTGCAAGGGCACCACGCCATAGCCGTCCAGATGGGTCTCCAAGGCCTCAAGACGACTTGTCATCGCGTCCAGGGACACCTCCAGCTCTCCCAACTTCCACATGGTGTAGGAGTTCCTGGAGGACTTGCCGGTCACATCCACCCCCTTGGTTCTCCCCTTCCGCTTGAAAAAGTGGCACCCCGGCAAAGCCGGCTCTCTTGCAAAAAAGGCCTGCTTCGTCAATGATACTTGTTTCAGCTGCTTTGCATGGTAGAAGCCTGCAACTGGATCATTGCATGCGGTGGAAGCGGGAACATTGCCAAGCTTGCAATCTTTGCAGTCGCGAGAACATGGTGTTTCTAAACATGCGCCCTGGGAAGACAAGGAAGGGAGAGGAAACTAAACGACTGAGAGCAACGACATGAGAACACAGCTACGTGAAGAAGCGAAAAAAGGAGCAATCCCTTATCAGACAATCCTCGCCTTTCACTTTGGACTGGGCCATAGGGATGGGAAGGTGTGAACTCAGCGAAAGGCCCAGAGCTTCAAGTTGCATAGGGGGAAGTCCGGGAGCCAAGAACGGCATTCCCGCCATGTCGTCCGCTTGAACCTGATTTGGGGACGTGACTTTCCCTTTTTCTGAACAGGCCCATGCTCCTTGGCCACACCAAGAACATTGAATCGGCATGTGCCCGTGCCCCTCTCGATCCCTTCGGAACGACATATCATCACTAGAGCGTTGACAACTTTGTGATGAACATATTCTGCGGATGGCTCCAGGCTGTTGCATGAATGCCAAAATTTGTGGCAATTGCAAGAATCTGACAATACGACTCGGGCTGAAACATGACACCAAAGCTCGGTCGAAGCTCCGATTATGCTTGAGTGCAAGGACGCAGGCTTGCCAATTTCATGCCCTTCTAGTTCAAGTATCTCCAACTTTTTTTGAACTTGCTGGCCGAATATTTACATCGCTTTTTTCCTCACTAGAAGCTGGGAGTTGGGTCAAGCCTCCATCTGCCATGTGAATCCGCCTCAAGATGATATCCATAACCAAACAGCACTCAAAGAGAATTGCGGGATGCAGGGAGCATCGAATAGAGCGGCTTGGCCTGGCAAATGACACTGTTTAAACGAATACAAGCAGAGCGAACATGTTCAAATGTCTTCATCATGTCATGCAGGATAAAACAAAACTCTGCAGTATGGATGAACAATGTCCGACCAAGGGTAAAGAATGCCATGCGCAAAGGCAAAGAATACGTGTCTGCTTCATTGGGATTCGTGGGTCAAAAACCTTACACAGTGTGGGATGCAACGCGATGCATAGAGGTTATCCACCTGGATGCGACCAAGTGGTAAAGCTGCACTCTTCCCCTGGGACTCATTCTCCTCACCTACAGCATAGATGGACGAACTCCTGCACCTAAGATGATTCCCCTTGCAAATACCAACCAACAATAGTTTTCCATGGTTTCAAAGTGGTGCGAAGGGATTGTGTCCATCCGCATTCGAGTCTTCGAGTCTTTGTGCCTTGAGCCCCGTCCCAAGCGCCTCTTTGAGGTGATCACGTTGGCGCCCTGGCCGGTCCAGGCGCTCGTGCTGGTGAGCAAAGTCATCTCCGTGAAGCCGCTGGGCTTGGTCATGTTGGCCCAGGTGGTGCTCCAAGTGTTCCTCAGATTGAGCGATGGGTCAAAATCCGGGTGAATTCTCAGTGAACATCCCAATCCAACCACTAAAATAGGTTCTAAAATGGGTGGTGCACCTACCCCAAACTGGTACCATTGGTTTTGACCCACAACCAGATTGAGCCGAGCGATGGGCAAGCAAGCAAGAGTAGAAGCCAACCAAGGAGTGCCCAAAGAGCCCCAGCGGGTGTGGTTCAATTTTGAAAAACCTCATAAGCGATGGTCTTTCTGACTTCCTCTGACTGCCTAGGAACAAACCATGCCCTTTTTAGCTGGAACAACTATATATCACGGTCGCGAAACGTGTATCGTGCCAGATCGTCCGCAACGAATGCATTTCAGCCACCAATTTACATATGACGGTGTTTCCAGGGTTTATCAAAGCCAGAATAGCGTATATAATTTCGCCCAAATCAAATTACCCTTTGAGGGTGGACTTTGATGCTGGTAAAGTAATGTGGGCCAAACTGACAAGCAATTCTTTCTTGGGAGCCTTCGTGACTTTGCCTTGCTCAGCATGGCCCATTTCCCTCAACGCTTGCTCCGTGCCCGGAACCTGAACAAATGAGCAAATGGGTCGGTCTCCTTTGATTATGTTTGTTGTCCGTTAACCCGCTAAAGATTTTGACCTTGACAGAAGCTGATGAAGGGGTCAATACAAGCAACGCGCAGCACATACGGTGATATGGCAAGCATTTGCCCTTCATGTAGTATCACCAATCCTGACAAACCATCACAAGCAAGAATTGACAAGTATTGACCCTGTTCAACAAGTGAGACACAGTTCACGGAAATCGCAAATCAGCTCTAAGGGTCATGGCGGCCGGGACCTTGTCAAAGGAGAAGTCCTTCAGCATGTCTTGACCCTCACCCAGCACCATGTCCACAAAGGCCTTCAACACCGCCACCTTGTCCACTGTCATGCCGCTGAGGTCCTTCTTGACATAGATGTAGGAGACCAGGACGATGGGCCAGGTGTTCGTGCCATTCTGGGGGAAGACGACGCTTGGCAACAAGCGACCGAGTGAAGAAGCTGGTGCACCATGGGTGGGGTGGGATATGCTAAATTTGATAAAACGTTTGAAAAAGGCACACAACATGCCGATTTGGAGAAGGCCATTTACTAACATCATGACTCTACTTGTCATCTGAACCCCAGTCAAATTGGGGCAAGATGAGGCTCAGGGCCTTTGCACCAATCCAATCTTAAAACTGGCAACGGAAACAAGCCAACATCTTCGCCAGGTGGGCTTCTCGACAACTCCTCCAGAAACATTCGGAGTTCTTTGCTTTGGGCCTTCCGGTACAGGTTCACGGCGCTCCAGTCTGCGGCGGCGTCAGTTGGGATATCCCCGGCATCCACCGCTGCCTTCCCCGCTGCAGAGATGCCGTTGTTCCCGTTGCTGTCTGTGGCGGCCATGGCATCCTTGGAGGTGAGCCAGGTGTTGGCCTCGTTTTGGAGGCTCACTTCCTGCGATCAGCGCAAACCATGGCAAGCTTTGCCAGTGCTTTGAGGGCCAAGTATGACGCCACGCAAACTGCACCGAACAAGACCGGATGAATGCCAAATGGCAAACAGCACTGATTCAATCAGATCATTGCAGCCCCTGTTTGATCACGTTTGAGTTATCTGCATCGTTGGGACCTTGATGGGAAACATTGTGCGCAGCTCTAACAACAAGTTGGGCAGCTGTCACTGACAAGCTGACTGACAAGGCATGGTTGGAACGACTCAAACACATTGTGAATGGCTTGCAACGGCGAATCCGACCTGCCTGCCAGCCTGAATCCTGCCTGCTTGCTTGGCAACACAAAGTCTAGATTCAACGCTGTTCTGACTGTGTGTGTGTGTGTGGCGAGTTCCAGATTCACCCTGCCTACCTCCTAGCTACGCCAACGAAGCTGTGGAAGTTTGGCCGGAAGGGTTGAGAGGACTTTATGCACCAAATAACGAATTCATCAAAACTGGACTTGCAAACAGTCAGCCATTTGCTTTCCAAGTTACCTTTGCTTTGCGCTAAAAACTGCATTTGGGCAAAGCTTGCAACGTAGCTTTCCAACTGGCTGCCTTGGCTTTGTTTTTCAAACTGCATTTGGGCAAAGGCTTCAATTTGATCTTCCAAAATGGCTACCTTTACTTTGCCTGTAAAACTTCATCTTTCGGAGGGAGAGCTTGCATTATTCTAGTTCCTTTTTCAGTCATTATTGTAGTTCCTTTTTCAGTCAGGCGGCACTAGAACAATCAAAGTTTGCATTATTCTAGTCCCCTTTCTTCATTAGGCCGTCAATGATTGGTTTTGCTGACAGTAAACCGCGGTTCTCTCTGTGGTTCTTGTTTCTTGGCTGGGGGTTTGCCCGCGGGGACCCGACTTGGGGCTACGTCGTCCCGACTGGCGTGGGTTTGTGCACGATGGATAGTTGTGTCCAGACAAGAGCAGTCTGTTCTTCATTCATCGCCCAGTCTAACAGAGAGATCTCAAAAACCAAGCTCAAACGTTCGTACACTTGCAAAAGCAACTTCGCAATTGATGTTGAAGGATCGTTTGATCAACAAATCTGACAAAAGCGAGATGCAACTACGCACGTCTAGCCGTTTGAGATGCCGAGCCGAGACTTAAGCCAAAAGCTATTGAGCAGAAGTGAATCCTCCGAATCTGCAGGCTGACAAAAACTTGCGTCACTGCCACTTCACTCCTGCAAGTCGCGTTGATGCCCGTGGCCAGCATCCAGGTATCCCAAGGCATAGGGTGTGCCGGTCACGTGGGTCAACATGCCCGGCGAGCCCTGCACTGCGTTGAAGTTGTCCGAGGTGGGCCAAGTGATGGTGCTCCCGGAGCCTTCCAAGGAGATAACTGGATCCGTGTTTTGGGCGCTCTCTCATTGAAGCCGTCCATTTCCATGCACCTCTCTCTTGTTCATGCAGGACTTTTCCCGAGACAAAGCAAGCCGTGATGCAATAAGCTAGAACGGCCAAGGTCTTATTTCTCATTCTTCTGGAATTTTTGCACAAACTTTAGGAATGAATGCAACCACAATAAAGCAAGGAGCCTTTTTGGGCAGCTTGATCAATAGAATGGTTCAACCTATGAACCGTCGGGGGGACCCCGCTTCTCTAATCCGGGGCTTTGCTCAAGTGCCCCCCCCTTCACGCTATAGGCAGGGATGATACGAACCACAGTCCACATATGCCGCTACCCAGAACTGGTGTGGAAAACTTACCGAGTCTCCGGCTGGTTTTCTTGTGGGACATGCGGTGCTTCATGTCCCTCCCCGAGTAACCTTGAGCAATAAACTGGTCCGTGCCAGCTGGCAAGCAATAGGCCATCCTGCTTTCCCCTCCCCTTGAAACTTGCCCTTTTTCAGCACCCCCTCTGTGGTTTGGTTTGGTTGGACCTTGGGTGCCAGGTGGCTTCAAAACGAACTCACCTTTTGCAGGGGGTACTTCGCTTTTTTGACTTGGCTAGGGGGTGCTAAATGGGCTTGTAAGGGAACTCACCAATTCGGGGTACCTCACTTTGGGGGGCGCTCCCTAATTGGTGGTTTGGATAGGGGCTTCAAAGGGAAATTACCGACCAGAACCACGGATGGCCCGAAAGCATAATGGAAAGTGAGTCTTGCCCTGCGTGTGCAGTTCTCGTCCTAAAAGTTCAGTGCAAGCGCGCAAGTGCTCTGTGCAAGTTGCGCTGTGCAAGAGCTCTGCGCGAGTTTGCTGCGCAAGTTTTGAACAAGTTTCTATGAGCAAGTTCTCTGACTCTGAGCAAGTTCTGTGCATGCAGAGCTGGCCACAACACTGCAACAGACGTGATTCCAGCTGTCGATCCAGACCTGCGAAAATATACTTCGCGTAATAGCTTCGTAGTTTAAAGTTGCGATCTGCCCTTCTGAAAGTGTGCTTCGTGCAATACTTTCGTACTCAAAATGTGCGATTCGATTTGCTAGCCGAAGCTGCGAAAGGGTACTTCGCGTACTACTTTCGTGCTTGAAAGTTGCAATTTCCCAGCCGGAGCTGCAAAAGTGCACTTGGCGAGTTGCTTTCGAGACAAGCTTTCAAGCCCGCATTCCGACTAGAAAAATACGTGCGACCAACCTGCCCGCAGAGGGCCGCGCGTGCGCCGTAGAAATCGCAGAAAGTCGTCAGTTTTTGCACATCGGCCAAGCCAATCCCCGCAGAGGGCATCATTCTCGCACAGTTTGTTTGGTCCCACCGCGCCACCTTAAGACGCTACCTAATTGCTTTCGTGTCCACATGTCTCGTGCGAGCTTTCTCGTGCTAGTTGGTTCTTACAAGTTTGGCTTCGTGAGCTTTTTCGTGCAAGTTGGCTCGTGCAAGTTTGGCTGTGCAAATTTTCTCGTGCAAGTTGGCTCGTTGCAAGTTTGGCTGCGCGAGCTTTCTGTGCAAGTTGGCTCGTGCAAGTTTGGCCGTGCAAACTTTCTCGTGCAGGTTGGCTCGTTGCAAGTTTGGCTGCGCGAGCTTTCTGTGCAAGTTGGCTCGTGCAAGTTTGGCTGTGCAAACTTTCTCGTGCAAGTTGGCTCGTTGCAAGTTTGGCTGCGCGAGCTTTCTGTGCAAGTTGGCTCGTGCTAGTTTGGCTGTGCTATCTTTCTCGTGCAAGTTGGCTCCTGCAAGTTTGGCGGTGCTATCTTTCTCGTGCAAGTTGGCTCCTGCAAGTTTGGCGGTGCTATCTTTCTCGTGCAAGTTGGCTCGTGCTAGTTTTGCAGTGCTATCTTTCTCGTGCAAGTTGGCTCCTGCAAGTTTGGCAGTGCTATCTTTCTCGTGCAAGTTGGCTCGTGCAAGTTTGGCTGTGCGATAAGGCTTTCGGAAAAAGCTACCTCACTTTTGGGGGTACCCCCCCCCCAAACAGAAACACAAAAACAAAAACACACAAAAACAAAAACACACAACAACAAAACAACAAATACACACACACACACAGAACCCTAGCAAAGAGCTGCCAAGTCAACGCCGCGCCTAGGGTCCAGGACGTTGGGCACTTGGCCTCGAGGTAGCCGGTGATGCCGCCGGTGCTGCTGGACCCAACGGTGCGATGCCCCACCTTCGAACTTGGAATCAACACCCTCCCACTAACATGGCCGTGGGTCAGAACCAATGGTGCCATTTTGGGGTAGGTGCACCACCCATTTTAGTCTATTTTAGTGGGGATTGGGATGTTGACTGGGGGTACGGGATTTTGATCCATGGCCACATGGCAACTGACGGGGGGTCCTACCTCTAGGTGCCATGCTAGTTGGAGGAAGGGTAGATGGGCGTGGGTCAAAAATAGGGTAACCCCAAAATGAAACCCTGGTAAATAAAAACAAAGACTAAACTCTGGTCCCCTGGTGGGTTAATTTGACCCATGCCCACCTGAGTCACAATCAAAGCCCGGTATTAAAATGGTCATAATCCCAGAACGATGCTTCAAGAATTAAGAAGGCGGATCTCCGCAGCTATTTATGGCAAGGGGATTGTCCCTTACCCTCCATCTACCCGGGTTTTGAGCACGTGGCTTACATGGGGATTCGTTTCAAGGACCCATGGACTTACTCGGGTAAAATATGGTTTGTGTCTATACACAGGGATCCATACATTATACACCTGAACATTGCCTTGTCAATGGTGGTTTCCCCTTATTTTGGTGGAAAAAGCCATGTTTCAAATGCGCAAAATGCATCTTTTAAGGAGCCCTGTATACATGGTCTTGATTTATCTGTTGGACATGGTTTGTAAATCACCTAATGAAATGGGGGACGCGGCTTGTAAAAACTGGGTGGTGAAGTCGACATGGGAGTGAGTCATCACCTAGTTGTCAAGACTCATGAAATCATTCCCTGTGTGTAGGAAGCCAAGGAACCCACTTAACAATTAAAAGGAACATGGCTGGTCACCGACTATGGGGGATAACCGGAATTCACTGGGATTTTCCCAAGTCGCGGCACCTATTGCGCTTCGTCTGCCTTGAACTGGCAAGGTGTTGGCATCAAACTTTCCCGAGGTTCGATGGCAACCCCATGAACCGTCAACTATGGCCGAGAGACAGAGTTCGATCTGGCATTCTCTTCCCTTTGACAGTCGAGCAATCACTCACCCAGTCGAAGGCTCGCACTTTGCAGCAGAAGCATTCAATTGCAAACGCAGCTGCCACAAGTTGGTCCTTACCAAGCACGCTTCTACTTTCAGCTGCCTCTAATTGGTGGTTTGGATGGGTGGTTTGGAGGTTTGGGGGGGTTGCTTCCCATCTACCCTCAACAAGAACCAAGGGTTCAAACCAAATTCAAACCACAACTCCCAGTCAGAGTTCCTTCCTGATACTTGGGACACTTCCCTCCAGACAACCACAACCGCGGGTTCTCGACGTGCCTGGATCTTGGTGCCTGCCGGCACCGAAAGGATGGGGTTCAGCGCCTGCGCTGGCTCCAGGCATCTTCGCGTCGAAACCCGTCCGGTCACTTGGGCGCTTAAGACATGCCCGACTTCTGGTGGCAACCCTGGCTTCCTTTTAGCTTGCAAGTAGTTCTTCTGGCACATTTTCGGGCACCCACTGAAAGCAAAGAGGGAGAAAGCAGGGTGCTGGACAAACAGTCTGAGATGATCCTGTAACTTCTCTCGCTCGGTTTGGTTTAGAAACGAGGTCCATCGCATGCTTTAATTACCCATCTCTTCCGTGTACAAACCGAACTATGTGTCTTCCGTCTTTTGAACTGCAGGCCTGCCTATCAAAAATGCCCTCTTTTACCGGGCTTGCCACGACCTTGGCTCGCTTTTCACCCACGTGAGGTTGGGGTGAATCACCTGCCTTGATCTCCGCGTCATCCCACATTGTGATAGTGCCCCCCATGATCTTTGCCAGCACGCAGGGCGACAGCTTCAGAGGCACGTTGCCCAGCTCATCCTCGAATCACCCGTGTGCAACGTGACCTTTGATCAACTCATTCATGCCCTGGAAGTGCTAAACAGAGGTTTTGGAATTGCGACACCAATTTCCCTTCCTCCAACTAACAGGGCACCTGTGGGGAGGTACCTGGAAGATTCATGTCCTTTTGAGGGGAGCCCCTGTCAGTAGCCATGTTAGTTGGAGGAGGGGTAACAATTGAACATGTTCTTGATGTTCTTGATGGCTAAAACTTTCCAAGCTGATCAAGTACAGTAGAGGTTTTGGAATAGCGAAACAAATACCCATTCCTTTTTACCCATTCCTTTTGGTTTGCGCTTGGGCAAAGTGCATGGCCCCCAACCGGGTGTTCTTGCCTTCGGCACGGAGTGGAACACTGCGATGGCGCCCAGGCAGAAGGGCAGGTGCACCATCGCCTGCCCGGTGAAAGCTTCGGTTCAACATGTCTCGCATGGCCATGGCCCGGCGGGCCCGGGGATTTTAAGAGGGAACCACCCCAAAAGTTGGGGGTTCCCCTAGTTTGAGACAAACCCATACGGGTTGTCGAAACTAAGACACCTCTGAGGTCCATCTCAGGAACAGGAATCAAATGCAATCACGCGCTATTTGGAGAGTTGAGAAACAGATTCTGTTCAGGTGATGCATACTCGTCGTTTCCGCTCCACATAATTTGTGAGGACATGCGGCATCATTATTTATCCATCATCCCAAAGGCAACGGCCACTCAAGAAAGTACTTGGTTGGCCAGGGCTGGCAGAGCTACATCTTGCATGGTTCTGGTTTACCTTTTTGTTTCCCTTGAAATTAATCCATCAACTCAATTTCAATGAATACTGACACAAGAACATTCTTCCGGTGGTCTTCACGCTGTCCTTGCTGGCTGAGACCATGCCGTTGTACCGATCCTGGCTCCTTGGCAGAGCTGGCAGTCTCAATGCTAATGTGCCTTGACCAGGGCGAACATGACAAAGACCCAGACGGGCAACATTGGCCAGGTCTAGCAGTGCTTCCTGCATGATGGCAGTGTGTGTTGGCACAAGTCACTAGCTCAAGCTATATACATAGTTTGAACCGAGCATCACGCAGTTTGCTTTGCTTGCACTAAACTGTCGCGAGCGGAAATGGAAATACCAGTCTGTGCGCCGGCAAGCTCAGCCTTCAACGCGTCCCTCGATCAACCGTAGCAACCTCCCTGCCTCCTTTGATGACCGTTTCTCCTGTTGAAAGATGTGAAAACAACTTTCTCTCAATCGGAAGCTATGCAACACTTCTTCAACTTCTGTGTCGGTGGGTTGACGGGGATGAGTTGTCTGCTTGCATGTAAAAGCGCAATTTGGCAGCTATGGGAGCAGCGTGTTGCTCAAAACTCCGTTGCTTCCGTGAGGGCGACAGGGTTGTGCCAACCACCTCGTCAAGCAACCATCCTTGCGCTCAAGAGAAGGTAAAGGTGCGGCAAGTGTCTCCAGCCAAGGCGCATGGGGATATCACCAGCCCCGAAATCCGACAAGGAGCCGCTGTAGTCGCCATCAGAGACTTGAGAGAACTCCTTCTGCCCAGTGCTGCTGCCAACGGCGCGGTAGGTGAGCCGCAAGTCTTTCTTGGCCCTCACCTGGCGGGTGGTAACTTAGAGAAACATGTTGTCTGCAGACGCCTCCCACGACGTGTGGGCGCAAAGGATTCAAGGAAGAAGCATGTCACACAGGTCAGCGCGCGGGATGTGTGTAATGAAGCCAGTAAAGCCGGCGGAGCCGGAGGGGTGGAAGCTTCAAAATATAATGACTATAGATTGGAGCACGCTTCATTCGCTGTTCGCTCTCTCTCTCTCGCTCAATAGTTCTTGCAAAAGTCCACAGAGGGTTGTGCGAGTGAAGTGACAATAATAATAATAATAAATAATAATAATAAATAATAATAATAATAATAATAATAATAATAATAATAATAATAATAATAATAATAATAATAATAATAATAATATAATAATAATAATAATAATAATAATAATAATAATAATAAATAATAATAATAATAATAATAATAATAATAATAATAATAATAATAATAATAATAATAATAATAATAATAATAATAATAATAATAATAATAATAAATAATAACTAATAATAATAATAATAATAATAATAATAATAATAATAATAATAATAATAATAATAATAATAATAATAATAATAATAATAATAATAATAATAATAATAATAATAATAATAATAATAATAATAATAATAATAATAAACACACACACACACACCAATGAGTCTTTGAGGATCACCCCACCCAAAGTGCGCAGAGGGTTCACTGCTTGAAGCGAAACTGTGCGTGCGGCCGTGCCAATGGGCCCGTCGCCGAGCCCGCTCCGAGACCGCCTCCGTCAAGCATTGCTGCGTGCATCTATTCCCCAGTTGTCGCGTTGTGCATCGCGCATCTAGTCTTAAAGATCGCGCACAAGTGCATGCATTCTTAGAGAGAGAGAGAGAGAGTGTGAGAGAGAGAGAGTCAAACTTCTTCTGAGAACAAAACAAGGTGGCTGGTGACGCAAGACCACATGCAGCTGGCCCAGCATACACCTAGGATCATGCTATGCAGTCACACCATGCATATTTGCATGATTCAATCTGTTTGGAAAAGAAGCGACCAATATTTGATCAACCAAAAGGAATATTCTTCCCAATGCCACCTAGTGACTGTTGGATGCGAGGGGACAATCACAAACCTAATATCATGTCAGAGTTGACCCTCAGTGGCATGACTTTTGCCTCACGCCTCCATGGTCTCCATGACCTTCCAGAAGAACTTGGAGGGGTTGGTGGTGCCACTGCCATCCACTTGAACGGTTTGGCCAGTGACCAGTGCCAACGGAACCAGCGCCAAAGCCAGGCGCAAAGACATCGCGCTTGCAAAGGAAAAACCGAAGGGCGGTTTACTCGGGACAGCTCACACAAAATCGCTCCACGCTTGGGCCAACAGGCGAGTTGGAGTGTGGCGGCCCTGATCATGCTCATGACAAAGCAGGCTCCCCGTGGCCATGCCACAGAGGACATGTCCACCACATAACGGGGTTCTTGCCCCAGCAATGTCTGGGGATACCCTGTCATGGGCAGCACGGTGGAACTGCCGCTTGCCACCCGCGCATGTGTATCTCCCAGAAGCCCTTACGTGAAACACATGCTGATCCTCAAGCATGGCTTGGCAATGCCAAGCATGTCTCATTGGACCTTATCAGAACAATGCATACAAACAGTGCAGCCTAATGCTGATTCAAATAGATCAATTGAGGTGGGCTGGAAGCTCACAAGTCCGAACGTCATCCATCGCAAGTTCCCTTCGAGTACAGCAAGCAGGGAGGCATGATGTATCGCTGGAAGGCACCAGCGTTTGCATTCCGTGCCGAGCAGCAAGCATGGATCGTCAGTTCAGGTGTGCGGTTGCAGTGCAGGCCTGCGAAGCAAAACGGGTGCCGTTATTAAATTCAAACTGATCCTCAGCTGACCCAACATTGCCATTCCATCCTTGTTGTGACGGCGGCTAGATAAGAAACCCGCCTCTTGGAACTGTTGCAAATAAGAACGTTTTCTTTTTTGTTTTACAGGGTATCTTAAACAACAGCCACTTGGTTCGGAACGTGTGCTTGCAGGGGTAGAAGTCCAAAAGGGGGTTCTGTTTCCGCCCCGCACTGTCCGCCCAGCACAAAAATAGTCCAGGCAGTGCCTAGTCAGACGCGGACCTTCCGCGACTGCGCAAATAGCAAAAACAACAATTTCGAATCCATATGTCCTCACAAATACTACCTTCAACTGCGGGGAACTTAGAAAACGTGCTCACGCGTCATGCCCCCGCCTTGGTCGACGAGCCATTTCACCAGCTTATGGCACAGGCCTCTCGCCCTGAGCATGGCTCGGCGAGAAACTGCTCCACTCGCACATGCTGATTGGGGCAAAGAGCCACAGGCTGGGAAAACAAACGGCGCAGACTCTGCTTACTGAGGCTTTGACTTGTGTTGAATGATTCGAGTGAAACTGCGATACACTTGTTCGGAAGGAGGTTGGCTGGCTGCATGATATTAGAGTCGTTAGCTCAAAGGCACCATCATTCCTGCACGCTGCTGTCGCTGGCGGTGCAGCATATCTGCGAATCGGGATGCCGAGAGTTCCCATGGCTCATATGCGAGCTCACGAAGTGCTCGCCTATCCAAATGACAAGCAAGTAACAAAACTATACTTTTGGACCGTCAATATATGGACATGTGTGGCAACATTGGCTTAAACCACATTTGTTCGCCAGATGCATCAACTTGTCACTGGAGCCAGGAGCCATGGGAAGGCGATTTGCTGCGCCGTGCAAAGATCAGACTTGCGGACCCATTTGCCAGCTTAGTCAGCGCTGGCAGCTTGAAAAGAATCAGACTCTGGCCAACCCCGGAACAGAACAACGAACTGGCCATGATTGGACACATAGATCAAAGTGAATGTTGGGATTCGCATTCCAAGCCTTTTGCTTTAGGTCCAAAACACGCCTCGTCAAAAAACAAGTGAGGGCTTTTTGTGATGAGCGCCATTTCCAGATCACAATGATACCTCGGCATATACTTCACGCGACTGATCAGCGTCCACATCCTGAGTGAGCAACGAAAGACCTCCTTTAGCTGAAGGTGAGGCTGGGGAAGATGCTGAAGGCTATTTCTACATTGCAGTTGCTGGATTTTCACCCCCCTTTTGTTGCTTTCAGGAAACAAAGTAGCCACCATCGCCAAGCTTCAGCCGTTTTGGGCAACGGCGTGTCAGTCTCGGCAACGAATGGTGAGCAGTGACACTATCACCTCGTTGCCTTACCGCAGCACACTTCTGAACTAAAGATCAAGCTAAAACAAGTGCGTTGCTCTTTCTTTTCCGAGGCAGGGCAGTTGAGCACCTAGCTACTGTCTATTTTTCTACCGATCTATCTATCCACATCCATCGATCTGTCGTGCTGTCGATCCGTCGATCTGCCCATCCATCCATCCATCTATCTATCTATCTTTCTCTATCTATCTATCTATCTATGTATCTATCCAGCTATCCATCTGGTGACTGGCATTATTCTAGCGCAATGTATCTCCACACATATGCGTATGTATATATATATATATATATATGCACTATATACATGCACCTATGTGTGTATATATCCAATAAGGACTCCTGCAGCAGAAGCACCTTGCTGGAAAGAAGTTTGAATGCCTTCTGCACACACATTTCCCCCACACCCTCCACGTCAACCACATGGATCCATACACCCAAACCGCGGTTGAAAAGCTCGAGCATCTCGTCTGGAACAGTGTCCTTGCCATAGAGCCTTTGCAAATCAGATGATCGCTGCCTCAAATCCGCTAACGGAATATGCGAGTCGTCGGGCCGAC